TAGTAGTAATAACAATAGTAGTAGACAATAGTAGTAGACAATAGTAGTAGACAATAGTAGTAGACAATAGTAGTAGTACATTACTTGACCAACTTGAAGCCGACGTTTTAGCCTCATGGTGCGGAGGTTCCTACCGGCATCGTGGAGCGAAGCTGGTGCCGCTGCTCGGGGGGTTTCTGTGGCGGAGCGGACGTAGGGTTTACCTTAACCCCAAATAACTTACGTTTTTCAGGACTTATATAAGGAAACCATAATAGGGAAGCCAAGAAGGTAGGTTCTTCAGAGTCTAGGTAGGGCTTAGGGGGTTTAGGGTTCTGTGGCGAGGGAAGTATATGCGAACGGCCATCTAGTGGTTGAAGAGGCTTCGGACTTCAGCGGGTCGATCTTCCCGGCAATCAGAGTCCGCCAAACGGAAGATCCGGGCCTTAGCAACTTGCAGGCCCGACATGCTGTAGTACGGCTGATGATATAAAATAAACCCTGCATTACCCTCTTATGAGGAATATACCATACTTCCAACAGTTTAGGGCCCTTAAGGTAAGGCAGGATGTATATCATGAACCGTAGTTTAGGGCAGAGGGTTCAGGGTCTAGGCCTAGGATTTCTTGCCCCTGAACCCTGATTGTAGATCCAGTCGTACCCCGTCTAGCTAAGTTAAGTCCCTACTGTCCCCACCTGGAGGTATATTGTAGCAGCTTCTGTTTTATAGATCCACCAATGCCCATTTACAGCTTGATCAGGTCGCCTTTTCATTAAACTCTAAGGCCTACAGAGCCCCATACCGTTAATGGTCGAAGCACCTCATGTTGTCTGCACCCTAGCTTGTGCTGGACATGACTCGCATCATGGAAGTTAAAACAGGTTTTAAGTTGAGACTAAACCGATGGCGCTATCCTGAAGCCCGTAGTGCAGCTCAGGCACAAATCCTACAAACAGTCGCGATAAAGTCATCCGCAAGTTATCAAAAAGGCACGTCGCTTGTAGAGTGGGGTTGAATGGACTAGTCCATGGCTGGGATTCTGTTAAACATGTGTGCATTTCTATTTCTTCTAGGTTTTAAGTAGCGCTAAGACTGTAAACTGTCAAGGTCCCGTCAAGGGGGAAGTCGGGTGGGAGTGGACCCGACCTCCACGCGACACGAAACCCTGTACCCTTCGGGGTTTAGGGTTCCCCTAAACCCTAAACCTTATAGCCTAAACCCGAACCCTATAGCCTAAACCCAAAAACCTTGTAGTCTAAACCCAAAACCTTCAAGGGTTGGGGGACCCGACCGACCCTCGATCCGAGCTCACGACAATCATGTGTCTAGAAGGGCTGTACGGTGTAATGAAGGGCCCGGATGGCTTGAAAAGGGTTTTGGCGTATCTTGTGGTATAGTTCTGTAGGGAAAGTAGACTACTTCAGCCCCGAAATCAAAACCTCTGTTTATTGTGGGGCCGACGATGACACAAGCAGCTTACGAAAGGCTGTGAAAACGACTTAAGAGGAAAAAGCGATAGCAGCAGTAGCAGTGGCAGTGGCAGTGGCAGTCGCGGTCGCGGTCACGATCGCGGTAGTAGTAGTAGTAGTAGTAGTAGTAGTAGCAGCAGCAGCAGCAGTAGCAGTAGCAGCAGCAGTAGTAGTAGTAGTAGTAGTAGTACTACTACTACTACTACTACTACTACTACTACTACTACTACTTAGTAGTAGTAGTTTTGGTCGTAGTAGTAGGTAGCGGTAGCAGTCGTAGTAGTGGTAGCAGTAGCAGCAGCAGCAATAGCGGCAGTAGCAGTCAGAGTAGGAGTAGGAGTAGCAGCAGCAAGCAGCAGTAGCAGCTACTGCCATATTTAGGTCCAGCATGGTTCTTAGTAGTGATGATATTTCTGATGATGCGTGGTAAACACGTGAATGGTACGCCTGCCAAGAACAAGAGTGGAGCCCATTGAATCTAAGGTGGCAGCAGGCTCGAACGTCAGAGGCTTGTCATTTTCACCTGGTGACTGGATCTTAGCTGTTGGCTCTGTGTGCGGGATTTAGCATTTGGGCATTCTACGCCTTTTTGGGCTTTTGGAGCTTCGGGAGGAGGTAACCCTAAGGGGTCCAAAGGACTCAATGCTTAGGTACTCGGTTTTGGGATGGTAGTTAGGTTAGGATTTTGGAAAATATGTTGTTAGGTACTTCGACCCTTGGGGTAAGGTGCTAGGATTTGCTATACGCTGGCACGGAAACACAGGTCACCAGCTGGAGCCCGACGGCCGGAAAGCCTTCAACCACTACAGCCGGGGCTTGTGCACCCGTACCGAGGTTTAGGGTTTAGGGGTTTCGCACTGACAGTGCACACTTATGCGGTATCGGAGGTCCTCTTGTTGATGTCAATGAACTGGACATTTGTTTTACGCTCCTCTTCCAACTTCGCCTTCAGCTCCTCAATCACGCCACTGCCCAGGGGACTTCCAAGGTGGCATTCATCTTCTGCAAGATGTCAAGAGCCAACCCTAAACCCTAAACCCTAAACCCTATTTGCAAGCTCCTGCCCGACGGATTTCTCAGTCTCCGCTACTGAAAAGCTTTGCCTTTTGGGGCTCGGTTTTAGGATGGTGGAGCTCTTGGGGGATATGTCCGTGATTTCCATTGCTAGCGCCATTCCCAAGGAAATAAGGTTTAGAGTTTAGGGTTTAGAGTTTTTTTTTTAAAGTGCAATGACGCCCCTTTCTCCAAAGCGCGCCTACCCAAAAGAGGGCATACACTGAATCAGCACACCCCGCTTTGCTACGGAGAAAAATGCTGAGGAAAATCTACTTTCTGCTGTCCCTCACGGAACAGAGTCGGGATCACATCGAAATCTTGGAAGTCATCACGCTGCCATGCACCTAATTCCAATTCACGGATACATCTGGGAAATCGTCTCGCCGGCGTGCACTTAATTCCAATTTGGGATACATCTGGGAAATCGTCGTGATAACATGCACCAAATTATTTCGATCTCGGATTTGCGGAAGTTGTCACGTGTCACAGATCTGTACAGACATTTGGCAATACTCGTAAGGGAAAATTGGTACTTTTGTACAAGCTCTCAGATGTCGCCTCCCATCGGCCTTCCTGGTTGGTCCGCAGCTAGGGGCTGAAACCCTTGCACTGACATGCGTCCGCAGGGAGGGGCTAAAACCCTTGCACTGATGCACAGATAAAAGTCACGGGATCGACACAATAGTACGCCATGCACCAGATGCGATTTGTCCCATGCTGTGCTTCACAGGCTTTGGGACTCCTGTGGTCTTCAGTCGATGCTCGGACCATTGAAGCTGTGGCACTGATCCACGGTTTCGAATCACATGCAAAGCGGGGAGTGCAATCCAATCAGCTGTCTGCGAGTCTTCGAGAGGTGGCTCCGACTTGCAAGGATACATACCACTGTTGCACAGCATGTCCGGATGGTGTTGATCCACCTGTCCGGGGTGTTGGCATCCCATGCATCCACTGGACAACTGCGAAAGGCTAAGCCGCTAGGAAAATCTCGAGCCAACATCTTGAGCCAAAATGGCTACGGTTTAGGGTTTAGGGTTTAGGGATAAGATCAAGTTTCTGCTCTTCCGTCAAGCTGAGTCCGCCTTCATTGGGCTCACGCTGATCCGGAAGAGCCCCCTCAACGAGCCGTTCGTTTCTAATGAAGGGGCCTCAACAAGTAGAGTAGGGTTTCGGGGCCCATTATTACAACTCCTACTCCTACTGCTACTACTGCTACTGCCTTCCGCCCCGAGGGGCATGGTCACGAATTAGGGAACAGCATCAGTGTAATCGTCGAGGCTTCTACCTTCACACCTACAAGCGCCGGTAAGCCCCCGAAACCCGAGGTACCCTTGTACAACCTTTGATGCTATCCCTACTTGGAGGTTCATGGGACTTAGTATGTACAGTCATAAGTACATTAGCTGGGGATACAACTAATTTTAAGTATAGAGACCTTATTGTAAACCCTAGTTAGTAAGTACCATGAACCTCTAAGTACCCCATTCGTGACCTGGTTGGTAAAACCCCCTTTTCTCTCTTCTTCAACAACCGGGCCCCAAGAATTTCTCCAACTTTCCAAGATAGAGCTGGTATGCAAGGCCAAAAAAGTTCAAAGTTCTCCCATTCACTATCTAAGTTTTTCTTCGAAGTTACACCTCTACTGATAAACCCTTTTCAGGTGGGGGGATCTATTGACCATAGACACAACAGCTTAAGTCCTTTCATCAACCCCTATACTATACTATTATGGTATGTACCGTTTAAGGAACCTTTTGAAGGAACCCGATTCTAACTATGAAGGCCCCTTTCTTATACTGAAGGCCAGTACTGGGCTTTTAAGTAACCAGGGAGAAAAAAGTATAAACTTTTATTTCATAAGGGTTCCTTTAAGAAAAAAGTATTAAAGTATGGTACTCCAAAGCCCTGAGTAAGTCGGATCATGAGTTTAGGATGATTAGTGCTAGGATTCCCTCTACTTTACCTTCTGGGCATGAGGATAATGGTGTTCCAACTTTCTGGCTTCTACTAAAAAACACTAAAACAAACCCTAAACCCTAAACCCTAAACCCCTAAACCCTAAACCCTAAACCATATATAAACCCATACACACCTATGCCGCAAACCCTGAACCCTGTTCTGACTGTGAAGGCCCCTATACTATGCAATTATAGTACCCTTTAAGGATCCCTCTAAAGGAACCCTGTTCTAATTATGAGACTATTATAGAACCCTTTAACGATCCCTTCAAAGGAACCCTAGTCTAACTATGAAGGCACCCTTTTTTCTGACCGGCCTTGACCCTTCCCTTATGTGATTCAAGGCATATTCCTTAATTCAGGGGTAGTGGGATCTCTGAAACCCTATAGATCGCTTAAAGGAACCTATACTGAACTTAGAGCCCTAGCAAAAATTATAATCTTAGCTGTTTCTTAGGGGTTATAATAACCAAAAATTTTAAAAAAAATATTTCTAAGTACCCCTAAGGAACCCTGTAGATCCCGCTTTTCACCGGCCTTGACCCTGGAGTGCGCTTGCAGTGGGAACTCATCCAGTTGCGGATCGCCCACTCCTTGGAGAACAGGGGCGGTGGTCAAACTTAGGGTCCCTTTTTGGGGTTCCTAGGGTTCCTTTAAAGGGGTCTATATAAGGGTTACGGTAAGGGATACTATGAGGGTACTATCATACGGGTGGTTGTCAAACTTAGGCTCCCTTTAAGGGAGTTCTTAAGTTCTTAAGGGATCTACAAGGGTTTCTTTTAAAGGGATCTGTAAGGGCGGTTGTCAAAATTAGGGTACCTTTTTGGGCACACTAAAAAATAATAGGTGCCGCATGATAATAGTGAGCCAAAGAGGGACCCTAATTTGACAACCACCCTTGTAGGAGAGCAGACGCGATCTTTGATAACGGTTTAGGGATTTTTAAGTATAGGTTAAGGGTTCTATGGGTTATAATGGGTATATGGGTTATAAGGGTTATATAATTGGCTTAAGGTTTTTATGGGTTATATGGGTTATATGGGTTATGTGGCTTATAAGAGTTGCAAGATTAAGGGTTAGGGTTTGGGGAAGACCTACCTTAACCCTACGGAACGTGCATTTTGTAGGGTTCATGGTGTACTTGATTGTAAGCTTTTGTAAGGGCCTTTCTACGTGTCTGTAAGGTTATTTGCGGATTCGACATTTCTTCCGGCGCCTTAAAGTTTATCTACTATTTGCTTAAGAACCCCCCAAAAAATATATTCCTTATGGGGGTAATGTAGGGATTAATGTTTTTATTTTTTTGGGTGTTTCTTAAGCAAACAGTAGTTATTGAGGGTTTATCAAGGTCTTATAAAGCGGGCTTGGTAGACGCGTTGCCTAGGGGCTTTGATGCGTACTAGTTGCTTCAGGTCAAAGTTTCTCCAGGGCTCAGTATAAGGGCCCCCCCTGCGCCCCAAGGCCTACCCAAAGGCCCCAAAGTAGTTCCTTTTGGGGTTCGTATATAGAATCCTATAAGGTAATCCTAAAAGAGGAACTACTATGGGGCCTCTGGGTAGCAACAACTTCGCCGACTTTTGATTGGCAACCTGACCTCCGCACTGCTTTTCTAGGATGCCCAGTAAGCTAGGAATAAAAAGGGCTCCTTTTTTGGTATTGGGTAACCTTATAAAGAACCTAGGACTACAAGAAAGGAAAAAGGTCCCACTGGGAGGCCTAGTTTTTGAGGGTTTTCTATTCCAGAACATGGGATCCCAATATAGTACCCTAAATAGTAGGATCCTTATTATGAGGACCCCAAGATAAGGTAGCCCTAATGTTCGGAAATTCCCATATCGGATCTCAACGCTTTCCCATCGGGCTTCGGGGTGAGGGATGGCAAAATCCATAGATGGGAGTTTCCAAAAAAAGGGGACCCCAATATAGGACCCTAAATAATCGGATCCTTATTGCAAGGATGCCAAAATAAGGTACCCCCCCCCCCCCCTTTGGGGAACCCCCTTTTATCAAGGGTACTATACCGCTGATTCAGGCTATCGTTTTCGGATTCTGGTGGCGGGCGTCACTTTGATGTTGTCTTCAGGCTATCTGTAGTTGGAGGGTCGGGGGACGTAGTAACTGGTTATTTTAGGGACTTATAAGTACCATAACCCTTATCAGGGTCCCGTTTTAGGGTACTTATACGTCTACATACTAACTACTTACTAACTCCCCCGACCCTCCAAGTAGGGGTGTAGGTGCAACGACAGGGCTAGAACGAACACAAGCCCAAACTTTGCTCGGGTGCTGCTGCACAACTCGTTTGCAGAGCAGGCCCAGGTGAGAGTTGCCAACACTACTAGACTAAGGAACCGTACCAGAGTCCATTGAAAGTAAGAACCTCGTAAGGGGACGTGGAGATAAAGTTTCGATCATTCACTTAAAGGCTGTATAAAACACCCATTGATCAAACGCTTTCAAGCCCGGAAAAAATTTCTCTTGTCGTTGGTGCCCTTGACTCTCTCATCTGGTATTTACTTACTTGAGAACCATAAATGTATAATCTTCAACCTTTGAGATCTTGATAACAAAACCAAACTGAGAACGCACTTGCAAAACCTACTTGGAGGGTCGGGGGACTTAGTATCTGGTTATTTTAGGGACTTATAAGTACCATAACCCCAATGAGGGTCCCTTTTAGGGTACTTATAAGTCTACTTACTAACTACTTACTAAGTCCCCTAAAGACCCCCCAAATAAGCACTGAAACCTGAACCCCAAACCCGGTTAAAACCCCTGTCAAAGCCCTTGTAGAAGACTACAAAGCCCTGTACAGGATCTAGACCCAAGAGTATCCTAGGAATAAAAAGGGTGCCCTTTTTGGTTTAAAGGGGCTTATAAGGGAACCTGAACCTTAACAAAGGGAATAAGGGCCTACTCCAGGTCCTAGGGATCCCCAAAACGCCCTAATTATCCGCAAAGGGTCCTAGGTACTGTTATGGCGGATACTTCCCCAAGACGCAATGCTAATTACGCACTAAGACCAAGACACCCTACATTCTAGCATTGTATACGTACTTGGGACCCTTTAGGATAAGACCGGCACGACCCTAAACCCTAAACCCCTGAACCCTAAACCCTAAACCCTAAACCCCTAAACACCTAATCCCCCTGAAGGCCCTAAACCGTGACGGCCTGGCACGACGACTCGTTGATGATGCTCGGCCTCTGAGTCCTGGAGGAACATGTCCTCGGGCAAACACGAAGGAGTTTAGGCTTCAGGTGGTGTGGGGCGCTCTTTAGGGGTTTAGGGTTCCTTTAAAGGGGTCTATAGGGGTACCTTTAAGGGATCTATAGGGTTTTAGGGGGTTTAGGGGTTTAGGCTTTAGGTGGTTTAGGTGGGTTTGGGGATTAGGGATTAGGGTTTAGGGTTTAGGGTTTAGCGATTAGGGTTTAGGGGGATTTGGGGTTCAGGGATTCGGAATTTGGGTTCGGGGTTGAGGCCTACACTTAGAAGTGTTTAAGCCCTAGAACCTGAAGCCCTGAACTCATATACTATAATCGAACCCGAACAGCCCCAAATCCTGAATAGAGCTGCAACCTCGAATTCAAGAGCTTTCCTAGAGTTCCTGTTGCGTGTATCGTGTCTTTGCTCCTTTCATTCTCTCTCTCTCTCTCTCTCTGTCTCTCTCTCTCTCTCTCTCTGTCTCTCTCTCTCTCTCTCTCTCTCACGATCCCGGTTAGGCTTCGTGCTTTTACGTGGGAATCCCTGAGGACCCTTGGGTTTGGTGTCGAGCATTGCTCTGGGTGTGGCTGTTTATGATCCATGAATGCCGGGATTAGGTTCGGATTTAGGGTTTAGGTTAGAAGCTGCCCCCACCCTGTAATAGTGACTATAAGGATTATATTAGGGCCCTATTATATTCCTATTATACCACTATTACAGGGTGGGGGCCCCTTCTAAGGTTTAGGTTTCAGGAGCTTAGGGATTTAGGGTAACGGCTCAACTACTATTGGGAAGGAGGCTTCAGGGTCGACGCTGGGATAAGGTTCCCAGAGGACCGCCGATTGAAAAAAATCAAGCGGGATTGAAAATTCTCAGCGTTTTGATTGTGTCGATCAAATTCAATAGAAAACGATCTTTTTCAATAGAAATTTAAATCCTCAAAATCAATAGAACTGCGACATAAAAATCAATAGAAACCTCCACATCAAAATCAATAGAAAATCTCCATAAAATCAATAGAAATTTTCCATAAAATCAATAGAAATTTTCCATAAAATCAATAGAAATTTTCCATAAAATCAATAGAAATGTTATCTCAAATCAAACGAGAAACACTTCTGACATCAATAGATTTCAGCGCTATCTCTGCCTCCACCACTATATATAATACCTCTACCTCGACCTCAACCTGTACCTTTATCCGTATCTCTGCCTGTATATCTCTACCTTTACATCTTTACTTCTTTATCTCTCTATCGCTGTATATCTCTCTATCGCTCTACCGCTCTATCGCTCGATCTACCGCTCTACCGCTCGGTCGCTCTATCTCTCTATCTCTTATATCTCCCTGTCTCTCTATCTCTCCATCTCTACCTGTATTTTTATTTCTATATATCTATCTCTTTCTTTTTTCTCTTTCTCTATCTCTCACTTTCTCTTCCCCACCCTTTCCCAGAAGGCTTCCAGCCTAACACTTCTTTTTCACAGCAGCGGCAGGGAATCTTGGGTGAAGCTTCTTTTGAGCTCTCCTTCGAAACTTGGCCTTGTAAAGGCCTCGGAGCCTAACTTTCAAAAACGGTTCCTGGCTACTTGGACTTGGACGTGGAATTGGACTCAGGCATTCCAGCCTAACACTTCTTTTCCACAGCTGCGGCAGGGAATCTTGGGTGAAGATTCTCTTGAGCTCTTCCTCAAAACTTGGCCGTGGAGGCTTGGAGCTTACCTTTCAAAAAAAAGCTCCGGGCTACTTGGGCTTGGACTTGGTATTGGACACTGGCAGCCCGCATGGCTGCAAGCCGTCCCTGACTCTCGGGTTTTGCTTGATGATCATTTTTTGAATCGGGGACAAAAAATCCCAAACGAGAAGGTGACCCGGCGGAGCTTCCGCTTCAGCTTCCTGTGAGGGGTCGTGGTAAAAGTCAGGCTCCTCTGGCCACTCCTTCATGGCCTGCTCAAAGTCACTCTGAGTGATCGGAGGGTCATACATGCCCAAGACCATCGTTTCCTGGCTCAGGCTCACGTTGTCCGGGCTCTGGTTTGGCCCCTTGGCCATGGTCTCGGCAGCTTGGCAAGCTTCCCAAACGGCTTCCAGACCTCCATCCGAGTTGTCTTCTTCCTGCAGATCTGTTTCGGCGTAAGGGTTTAAAAGCTGGTTATGAGGGTATAGGGGTTCACATCTATCTATCTATATATATATATATATATATATATACAAAATCTATATATCGCACTGAAAGAATCCCGCCTCGAGAGCAAAGCAGGTGGCGGCTGCAGGCCTCTTGGCTGTCGTCTCTGCCGGAGTCTCCAAGGTGGCGTCTGGCCTCTTGACTGTCGTCTCTGCCGAAGTCTCCAAGGTGGCGGCTGGCCTCTTGACTGTCGCCTTTGCAGAAGTCTCCAAGGTGGCGGCTGGCCTCTTGGCTGTCGTCTCTGCAGGAGTCTCCAAGGTGGCGGTTTGGCTCTTGGGAGCTTGGCCACTGGAGGTCGTGGAAGTCGCAGGTCTTTTCTTGACGACCTTGACCTTGACGACGGCCTCCTTGTCTGCGAGCTTGGCAGCTGGCTTCTTCGAGACCGGGGCCTGTCGAGGCACAGCCAAAACTTCAAAAAACAGACTTAAGCTCGACAAGCTCACAGGCAAGTATCTGGCCTGCCGTGCGGCCGGCTTCTTCTGGCTTCCTACTTTTGCCATCTGAAGAGCCTATAAACTGCAGCTATAGACGGCGACACATTTTTGCAAGCGTCCGGATTATACCACTTGGGAATGTACGTATAGGGCCGTCCGGCCCTTAGCAGATGGCGCAAGCGACTTGTTTTCCATGGGCCGTTTGCAGTCGGCCTGGACCTGGACCGTTTGAGCAGCTTATGGCTCATGGGCCGCTTGCAGTTGGCGTGGACCTGGACCGCTTGCAGCTTGGCTGCTTGGGTCAGCTTGGCTCATCCAGCACTAGCAAGCCCTTTAAAAGCAGATGCCAAAACGTCCTGTACTTGAACAGGATGGTTTCCGGCACCTTGTGAGCTGCAGTGCCTGAAAGGCAAGCATTGGCGATGTGAGACATCAAGCCCATAAAGGATTCGGAACCATACGTCCAAAAAAACCTGGGGGCCAAGTGCTGCGAAACTTCTGGCAAGTGTGCCGTCATGTGAAACTTGGAAACTTGGCTATATCGACACTGCTGGGCATCAAAAGCCAGCTTGGCAAGATGGCCGTAGTGCTTGGTCAAGCACTGGACTTGGTCGGCGAATTTTCGCCTGACGTCCTGGGGCCACTTGAAGTCTTGCCTGTCCAGCAAGTCGTAGATGTCCCGCAGCGACTCAAGGACACGAAGTCGGTGCAGGCTTCGGCGATCATCTTGGGAGCCTGAAATTGCTGTAGAACTTTAAACAAGAATAAGGTCGTGTTCACATTTATAGATATAATGCAGCTTAGACACTGTACCTCCTGGCGAGCTCCACAGCAACAGGCATGAAATGCCTGATTCGCCTGCCCTTCTGGTGCTTGAGGCAAGGGTACTCATTGGCACTGCTGGCAATGTCAGACTTCCATTTCAGGTTCGGCAACCTGGTGCCTGAAGGAATGCCTAGCTCCTGGTAGATTTCCTGGATTTCGGCATTCAGGCAACTCATGTTGGTGTCCCTGGAACCTGGCTTGGAGTCTTCGATGATCTCCCAAAGCAGATTCCCCACCACATGGCAGGACACACCGAGGTCCAGGACGTGGAGGACGTCAAGCTTCAAAGCCTGAGCATTGACGCCTTGGACCTGGAAAAGCGGGTGCTCCAGCCTGGCTTCCAGCTGCCTTGGCCTGAGTGTTGTCCTTCTCCAGCCTGCTTCCTGGCGAAAGTCGTTCCAGCAGTTCTCGCCCTCTTGGGTGCAAGCGCACCAAAGGCAAGGGTTGGCTTGGTTCGGCCTGGGGAACTTGAATTCCTGGTAGAAGAACTCCATGTCCCCTGTGATGCAGTAGATCACTCCTGGCCTGAACCGCCTGGAGGTCGTTGGGCACCTTCCTGAGGCCATGGCTTGGAGGGACTCGCAGAGCTTGGTCCAAAGATCTTCCATGAGCTTGGGCGTGATGCACGACTTGGGAATGCAGGCCAGCAACAATTGGCTGCTTGCCTGGACTGCGAAAGCAAAAATTAGAGACACCAAGACCTAAATGGTGATTTTGCGGTCGTACTGCCGAAAGAATACTAGACAAGCCAAGCGTCAATCGAACGTCGTGACGTTATCGCTCTCATGGAGATCACAAGCAGACTGTCCACCTTGGAGTGGGGAGCTGCGTCGCCGTGCAAAGCGAAAGGGACCAAGGCTTGGGTGTCCTGGAAAACTTGGTCAAAGTAGTCCTGGCTTTGCGACACCCTGGAGTTAGCGCCTTTTTGGCTGTCCCAAAACTTGGCAATGTCCTGGATACCCAGGATGTCATCGTCCATGCCATCCAGGCTTAGCATCCAGTTGTGCGGAAGCATGACTGGAAGCTTGCAGTCTACCTGGATTTTTTGGCCTGTGGCGCTTTTCCCCCATGCCTTGGTCTGCACGACCGTTGGGTCTGGAGCAGCCATGTCCTTGAAGACCCTGGAAAGCAGCTGGTGGTGCGTGTGGTTCGGGTTAACACCATGCGAACCCAAGCTGGCAAGTCCCACAAGGTCGGCCTGGGAGCAGCCTGACTTGACAGCTGCCTGGGACAGCTCCTGGACGACCTTGGCGCTCAGGTCTCCCAAACACCACAGCCTTAAAAGGGCCACCGCAAGTGGAGATTCTGGCTTTATCTCGCGACAGGAGGAAGAGGAAGCTTGGTCCTCCGTCTTCCTTTTCCTCCCTGACATGGCTTCGCCTGGACATCTAAACCTAAACCTGGCTTGGTCCTCGAAGCTTCAAAGCGGGGAATTTGCAACTTGAACACGAGAACAAAGGCAGTTTGCAGCAGTCCCTGGCAGCAAAACGCTTCTTTTTGGCGCTTGAAACTCCAGCTTTAGGTTTCAGTAGGCTCTCTCCCTTGAACTGCCTTTGCTCTTGGAGCCTAAGAGGCTGGA